GGAGGGCTCCTGGCATCAAGAGGACCGTTGTGCAATCAGGGAAATTTACATTTAATTAACATAGAATTAAAGAGTATTGTTAGTTTGATTAAAGACACTGGTTTTGTTTCCCCCACTCTATAGTGCTCCTGAATCCGTCTTAGGTTTCATTTCATTTGCTATACTGCGAGTGGATCAACATCCATCTGGATTGTCTGCTCAGACGCAGGTCTTGCTTTTTCAGAGGGCTGTAAAGTAAACTCCGGCACAATCACACTGTGTATTCACTGCAATCTCAGCATGTTATTACCCTCTCTGTGGCCTATCTTGCTATTGTAATAGGATTTAAGAAAGAAAAAAAAAGAATGTTCAAAGTTGCAGTAACTTAACTTGTTCTCCATTTTGTCCATCTCACAAGAACAGAGAAGATGAATGGAACCGGACCAGAACCAAAATAACACTGCAGTGCCTCAGGGAAAGTTATGAAACAAGACTTGGAACAAATTAATGCCGTCCCGAGACTATTCTATCCAATAAAATGAATATTTGGATAACTGGACGTGGCAGATATTGTGGTGTCAGGCTGTCAGCAGCTTGTGGGGATGTTGTGGTTTGTCTCCGCTCTCTGTTAAAGCTCCATCAGTCAGGATGAGCCGACAGCAGAGTCATAGGGGGTCACATGAGGCCTCGAGACGGCATCACTCAACCCAGCTGTCCCCTGGCTGTCACTGTGTGATTATAGGCACATTACAGAGGGAGAAGAGCCAGTAATTAATCACCTCATTGGAATAATCACATAATTGATTATTAACAAAAGCCGAGGTGAGGGTGAGAGGAGAGGGGAAACAAGACTTTGAGAAGGAGAGACAGGGGGAGATGGATGATGGGGGAATTGAGTGGTGGGGTAAGGGGTTTGTTCTGGCAGGTACCTTTGACGAATAGCTCTGCATTAAAGTCCACCTCTTTGAGTATTAATCCTCAGAATCTAGTCTGCGGGACAGAAGAGGTGGACAGTGGGGAGGCGCCTTGGACTGGAATCGGCTGGGCGAGGCTGAAGAAGTTGTTGAACGGGCTATGAAAATGCAATTAGAAATTTGCATACCACTCCATATGTATATTGCATAACACTCAGTGGAAATATGAGAGTGAAATGCCCTCTTTACCCTGAATACAATCACAAAGATGCCTACATTCTGCATGACATTTAGAAATATCATGCAGCAATTTTGGTCGGTCTATTCAAATGTGGACGACGTTGACATTTTATTCCCTGTGTGGAAGATAGCTGCATGTGGAATTCATACATTCACTACCCATCTCTGCTATTGACACTTTTCCTTAAGCTGCTGTGTGACTTGAGCTGTCTTTTTGGACCTTTGGCTTACAAAGTTCTGCCTGGAAGGCTTGATCTCTTCCCCCCTTTTCTTGTCACAGACTGCAATCAGCCTTAAGCCTTTTTGTGTTCTCCTCCCTGAGCTAATCCTGTTATCCTGTGCAACTCCTTTACACAAGATCACAACTATATCCCCCTCTCTCTGTCTCTCACCTCTTACACCTTTTCTCTCGTTCCCCTCCTTTGTTTTACACATACTGACCCCAAATGTAATGGTTCTAAAGTTTCTCAAGGCTGGATTAGAAGGACTTCTTTAGAATTATTTGCTCTTGTTCCTGGGCATCAGCTACACACCCGCACAGACTCACAAAAACAGACACAAACACAGATAGTCCAGCACTCTTTTCTTTCTTTCCCCCCTAACATACATATTCCTACTAATCCATCCACATTGCACACACCTGCAACATGCTTATGCACACACATTGCTCACTGCTGTTGTTAGGATTTATCACACGAGAAAAAAAACATCCTCTCCCAGCGCAAGATGTGAGTGCACTGGTGCATTGCAAACTCCTGTATGTCCTCCTAAACTGCAGCCTCTAGTCCCATGGGGTCTGCTCCTCACATTCATAACACTCCGCTCCATGCCAGGTGGCTGTCTCCACAAGTCCTCTTCCTCATAAATCAGACTGTCTTTGAGTTGATCAATAACAAGTCAATTAGCAGGCACAGAGAGATGAGGGTCTCAGGGGGTCAGCGCTTGTTTGTCATGCAGACATTTGCAGCTTTGTCCCTGTCTGCCACGGAGCAAGGTGTGTCGTTTACCTCTGGAAACATGTGGCTAGCTGGCGATCATAAATCTAAATATCAACTATAAATAGGATGGGAACATCTTGCAACAATCCATCATTTGCTTGTTCTTTGATATGTAATGAATCAAGCATTGTGTACTTCAAATCACCCAGCTGTGTCTGATGGATTCGCCTGGGGATAAAAGCTCTTTTCTTAACTTTTCTTTTTTATTTGATCTTGAAGATTTTCTGTGAATATACATCTTTGTCACAAGAGAACAAACAATTCTACCAACGCTGTCTGGGGTCAAGTACGACCATATGCACCAAATATAAGTCGCAAAGTCTACTTGGTTCATCCTGTTCCACTGTTAAGCTGACAAGAGTTGGCGAGACCCAACTGTTGTTTGGTGCCCACTGACTGTGTATCTAATGACTTGGCTGGTGAATCCAACGCAACAGCAACAGGCCCCTGTGGCGAATACAGCAGATTAATCCCCTGGATAATTACAAACAAGAATGATCTTGGGCAAATACTCCCCATACCTACTGAGACATTACAAGAGACGATGTTGTCCAATTCTAACTTGGTATAAGTGGTTATATAGACACAGCCTTTGAAGAAATAGAAGCAATGTTGCTGATGATGAATAGAGAAGAAGATAAAGAAGTGCACAAGAACAAGGTCACAACATACACACAACCAATTTATTGGAAACATGTTGTATTTTACCCATACAAGAACAAATTAGTGCAGTGCTCTTGGCCTCCCTATGCTCCTGTCTAAGATGTCATATGCTGCTTTGAAAACTCAGATGATAAAGGTGAGCACACGCTGCAAATTTGTATTCAATTGAACTTGACATGACTCACTCATGTGACTGCCTTTGTCATTTTAATTCACAGCAGTCACCACCCACGCTTCTGTTGCGTCAGCTACATACAGGTTTTAATAATACAAATGTAATACAAATATTCATAGATATTACTCACTTTCTCTCTGTCTCTCTCATATGTTGTAGTGCCATGTTTTATCAGTAACATTTCTCTTTATCGCTGCTGCTCCCCACACACAAAATATATCAATTTAGAATTTCATAAATGACACTACATGTCTGCCTTTATAAATGCCTAATTATATATCTGTTCATTTCATAACCCTCTGTAAGTACTGTCTTTGTAAAATCCTAACAACTACCATGGACCTTCACACCAATACAAACACACAGCCCTTATCATTTGCTCCTGCTCTGACTCAGAATCCTGTACTCTGGAAGTTGCTCTTCTATTAATTCCAGTAGTAAATTAGTATTTTCAAGATTATAACCAGATTATCTATATTATGTGTGGTAGGCTTTTAATTTGTTTAAGGGACATACAGTGCATAAACTTTATGTTCTGCTGTGTCTCTGCACTATTTGACTGAAGATTAAGAGAATGTGTTTTCTGTCAGGCAGAGGCCACCTGGATGTGCTCAGCCTGCAGTTACATATGACAAAGGGGAGATAAAGGTGACATAAAAGTGTTTCCAGCTGAGGATCAATGCGATGTGGTAGAAATGTTTTTTTTGTTTGGGGTAGTGCTGTTGGATTCTGTACGTACACATGTTTGCAACTGTGCTTTGGGGTTGACCTTGTTTTTTTTTTTCTTCAAATCAGCTGCAAGTATCAGGTGTCAGGAATTGACTGTTAGGATCCCACCAAAGGGTATAAATACAAGACACAGGAGCTATCCCACTGTATTGAGCCACAACTCCTGGTAACAGATGCTCCACACTGTGACAGAGTCAAACATTTACTGTATGTGTGGTGTAAAAGGCCTGGCTCCAGGGCTTCCCTTGTGCGCCCATGCGAAGAAACCCCCCAAGGGATCTGACGCCAGCTGAGACTGAAAAACAAGGTAAGAGCCCAGCTGACACACATGCACCCAGGCTCAGCTGTTTGTCTTAAAGGAGAGTTCGGTCTGTGAAGTACACTGAGGGCCTGGAAATGAAGGAGACTGCCAGACTCAAGGCTCCGAGCAAGAAAATGTAGAGAGCCTCTTAAAGATGGATAGATGGAGGTTGCTGGAGTGTGAGCACTATAGGTGTGCAATGGTAAGATTGTTTGCTTTATTGTCTGATCTGGTAATAGAACCTAGATAGAATGGAGGGAGATGAAATAAGGTCTGTCACAGCAGCTGTATCATTGATCTTACCTGTGACACATTATAACAGCACCAGGCTATTGAAATACAGCTTCTAGATTGAACTGTTTTCTGTTTGGAAATAATCATTCTGTTGGATCTTTGTTCTATATGATGCTTTTTTGTTTTCTTTTCCTTCGTGGTTGGTCAATATCGATGTATTACTCCAATTTCCTCCCGCATTTTAAATGCCAGTCGAAAGGCTCTGGGGGGGCTCCTTTTCTCTCTCCAGCCAAGAAAATGACTAATATAAATGATTGACAGCCTCGCAGGGATATTGTTGCCCATTTAGCAAACTCGCTGTGTCAAAGAAAAAAGTCACAATGGCTCCCTGAGTCATGGGATTGGAGATGAGAGAAATGAAGATTTTGGTGCTGTATCGATTCCCACAGCACTTGTCTCATACATTTTACACAAGATCCAAATGCCACTTATGGTATAATATAGCTTGGTTCAGGGATGGCAACTCCCTTGTCAGTGGGATTTCAGGGTACCTGGTGTATAAATTCAACAGGAATCAAGTAAAGCTGTTAGATTGTGTCACAGGATCAACGCTAAGAGGGCAACAGGGATGTCTGAGCATTTGAAACATCAAATCTTCTCTCTTTGTCCATTAATAAGCCTCTCCTGGACAGCTGAAATTATTGGTATGCTTTTCTGAGTCCTTGTATTAAGCTCTCTTCTCCTTTTCAGGGTCTAAGATCTGAATCATGGCGGAGGAAAGCCTGGAGACAGATGATCCCAGGTCCTCCATGCCGGCTGAGCTCCACCATCTCCACTCTAAGTACGCTCAGTGGAAGTTCAAACTGTTTCGAGTGAGGTCCATGGAGAAGGCCCCTCTGCCCAGTGAGACCCAACCTGAGAAAGGAGCCTTGTTAGGGATCTCACCTACTGCAGCTCCAAATATAGAGATAGATGATGGTGCAAGTCCAGGCAGTGTCATGAAATTGTGCCTAGGGGGAAAAAGCAAGGAGAATGTGGAGGGCCCAGGCCGAAGGATAGATATGAAGCTACAAGAAATGGAGACCCATATGAACTACCTCAGGTAATCCAATGTTAAATACTATAACAACGACAATTCATTATATCTATTTATTTTGAAGAATGTGACAAATTTGTTGTCTCTCTTAAAAGGTGCTTGTGTCGTCTCTGTGGAATGGCCTTGAGAAAAGTCAAAGGCCCGGTGAATGATGTTCATAGTGATCTGGATGCGGCAGGCAAAGGTGCTCTGCGTAGAATGGGCTGCAAGTTTACCAGCTGGTCAGATGTCATCCTCAAAGTCTTCAAAGTGGATGTGACCGAGGACACAGAATCTACCCACCCTTCATCTTTCTGCCATCGCTGCTGGATGGTTGCCATGCGTGGAGGGGGTGTCTGCAGCTTCTCCAGAACAAGAGTCCCCGAGTGGAAACCTCACTCTTCCCACTGCCACCTCTGCTTTCCCAGGAAACCTTCACTTCAGCGGACTGGTAGGAAGAGGCAGAAAGCCATTCGCAGAGCCCAGAGCCTTGCAAAAAGGATAAAGAAGGATCATGGCAACAGCATTGTCATTGGAGAGAGGAGGACTCTGAGACCATTTGGAAACAGTCATCAGGGCCCTGTGCTTAGGGGGTGGAGGAAACCCAGCTTACAGAGGGAGCAATGGGTGAAGAACATCACCAAATGCCAGAAAGAGCACCTCAGTACTAAGATGATTTCTGAGAATCTCCCTGCAGACTTCCTTCATTCTTTCAGCTGTATGGTGTGTGACCACCTGCTCTCTGATCCTGTCCAGTCCCCATGTGGGCACCTCTTCTGCAGGGCCTGTATCATGAAGTATTACTACGTCCTGGGACCACATTGCCCGGCCTGCAACTTGCCCTGTGCCCCTGAAGATTTTATAACGCCTGCCAAAGCATTCTTATCAGCCCTACTTTCTCTGCCTCTGCTCTGCTCGAGCAGTGGCTGCGGCAAGCAAGTAAGCCTGGACTCATTCAAAGCTCATTGTCTGAGTCATGAACTGGATGAGCAGGATGCAAACCAGCAATCATCAGAACTCGACAACTACCTGCTGGCCAACAAAGGGGGGCGACCCCGTCAGCACTTGCTAATGCTAACCCGCCGTGCCCAGAAGCACAGGCTGAGAGAGCTAAAGAACCAGGTGAAGGTGTTTGCGGACAAAGAGGAAGGCGGTGACCTGAAGTCTGTGTGTCAGACTCTGTTCCTGCTCGCGCTGAGATCTGGGAATGAACACCGACAGGCAGATGAGCTTGAAGCCACGCTGCAAGGTAAAAGGTTATGATTCAGCTTCAATAAACGTTTTCTGTGATAGCCAAGAGAGAGAGAGAGAGCGAGAGAGAGCGAGAGAGAGAGAGAGAGAGAGAGAGATACATGAATTAAAGGGAAATTGTTCTTGCTGTTTCATATTTCTACCTACCTTTGAGGATAAAGTCAGCTCAAAAATAATCTGTGGAAAGGCTCATTATTACACCTCAGAATTTTTGCTGTGAATTTGATTGTAAAGCATTTCATTATTGTCCATCTCTGTGTATTGAACCACTGCTGTTCTACGCCCAACCCCTCCCTTATTCTCTCCCACTCTCACTCTGCCTGTCTGTCAGTCCCTCTGTCTCACACTCCCTTTAATGCACAATAACAACTCTTGTGAAGGGGCTGTTAGAATCAAAACAACATCAGCAGCTCTTGTATCTGCAAATTACACAGACAGCACCACCGTGTTCTCTGGGGAATAGAAACCAGCTGGTGTCTGTTTTCATCTACAGCCAATACATCACTTTTGCCAGCTTCGCTGATTCACCCTCTGTCCCCTTATAACATTTTTAAATTAGGAAATATTGGATTTTGTAATCATGGGCTCGTGGGCTTTTTGACAATGATACATTCACATTTGGGTATTAGAGTCTCACAGTATAAATGACACCAAATACATGATATCAAATGAGGAAATTTGAGATATGGCAGTTATTTTCAAAGCCCTGAAAATGGGCTTCCATGGTTTGGTGTTAAATTATTCTCTTCAAGTCAAAATCCTTTCTTCCAGTCTCACTCTTTAAAAATTTCCTCTTTCTGTCTCACTCTGGTACTTTCTCTTATATCACTTTTCTTTCTCTCTGCAGGCAGAGGCTTTGGGTTGCAACCTGCTGTGTGTTTAGCCATCCGGGTCAACACTTTCCTGAGCTGCAGCCAGTATCATAAGATGTACAGGACTGTCAAAGCCACCAGTGGCCGCCAGATCTTTCAGCCCCTGCACAGCCTGCGAGCTGCAGAAAAGGAGCTTCTCCCTGGATTTCACCAGTTTGAATGGCAGCCAGCGCTCAAGAATGTGTCTACATCTTGCAATGTCGGCATTATTAATGGGCTTTCTGGATCGGCCTCCTCTGTGGATGACTCCCCAGCTGACACTATCACACGCCGGTTTCGCTATGATGTGGCATTGGTGTCAGCCTTAAAGGATCTGGAGGAGGACATCATGGAGGGCCTGAGAGCAAGTGGGCTGGAAGACAGTGCTTGCATGTTGGGCTTCAGTGTCATGATCAAGGAATCCTGTGACGGCATGGGCGATGTCAGCGAGAAGCACGGCGGAGGACCAGCTGTTGCTGAGAAGGCTGTACGTTTCTCTTTCACTGTTATGTCAGTCTCTGTCCTGGCAGAGGACAAGGGGAAAGAGGTTACCATTTTCACTGAGCCAAAGCCAAACTCAGAACTGTCCTGTAAACCCCTTTGCTTGACATTTGTGGATGAATCAGACCACGAGACACTCACGTCAGTCTTGAGCCCTGTTGTTGCAGAGCGTGAGGCGATGAAAGAAAGTAGGCTCATCCTATCCATGGGTGGACTGCCTTGCTCCTTCAGCTTACACTTCAGAGGCACAGGATATGATGAGAAGATGGTGCGTGAGATGGAGGGCCTCGAGGCTTCAGGGTCCACCTACATCTGCACTCTTTGTGACTCAAGTCGAGCAGAGGCCTCTCAAAACATGGTGCTCCACTCTGTCACACGCAGTCACGGGGAGAGCCTCGAACGTTATGAAATATGGAGAACCAACCCTTTTTCTGAGTCAGTAGATGAGCTTCGAGACAGGGTCAAAGGCGTCTCCGCCAAGCCCTTCATGGAGACTCATCCAACCCTTGACGCTTTACACTGTGACATTGGTAATGCCATTGAGTTCTACAAAATCTTCCAGGACGAGATCGGGGAGGTGTTCCAAAAGGTCAACCCTACCCGGGAGGAAAGGCGCAGCTGGAGGGCAGCCCTAGACAAACAGCTGAGGAAGAAGATGAAGCTCAAACCAGTAATGAGGATGAATGGGAACTATGCCCGCAGGCTAATGACCCTGGAGGCTGTAGAGGTGGTGTGTGAGTTGGTGCCCACGGAGGAGAGAAGGGAGGCCCTGAGGGAGCTCATGAAGCTCTACATCCAGATGAAGCCTGTTTGGCGCGCCACCTGCCCAGCAGAAGAGTGCCCTGACCAGCTGTGTCAGTACAGCTTCAACTCCCAGCGCTTTGCAGACCTCCTCTCCTCCACCTTCAAATACAGGTACAATGGAAAGATAACCAATTACCTGCACAAAACCCTGGCCCATGTACCTGAAATCATAGAGAGAGATGGATCCATAGGGGCCTGGGCAAGCGAGGGGAATGAGTCAGCAAACAAACTGTTCCGGCGTTTCAGAAAGATGAACGCACGTCAGTCGAAGGCCTTTGAACTGGAGGATGTGCTGAAACATCACTGGCTCTACACCTCCAAGTACCTGCAGAAGTTTATGGAAGCTCACAAAGACTCTGCCAAAGCTTTCCAAGCTACCATTGACCCTGTAGAGAGCCAGGATAATGAGTACTTGTCTCTGGAAATGAATGAGTTTTGATTATTCTTTAATGTAAAACTTGAGAATTAGGACTATATTTCAAATGATATTTTACCTACTTCTTTTAGTAAATTGCCCTGTTTAACAAAATTTCATTTACTTTCTTAACCTTTTGATTGGTGTAATAATAACAGGGGAATGAAGCCAGTGTCTGGCCGGAGGCTGGACATAAAATAATTGGAAAATAAATTGAAAAATGTTTTTCTCACACCATGGTTTTAAATGCATGTTATTCTTGTGGTTAACCTTTACTTGTATTGTACTTGTACTCTGTCTTGTTGCTGAAATGTGCTTAACAAGGACATTTAGCTTGCCTTACATTGTTAGCTGTTAATTACTGTGCAGACGAGACTGCAGCGGGATATAGAAATAACACACAGGATTCTTTTCTCCTGCTCTTAGCGGAGGGATTCTTTTTATTTTTTTTGTCTTCACCGTCTGTGAAATATGGCACAGTTTATTGTATTGCAAGGGTATGACACATTTATGAATTTATATGGAGAGGATATTTATGGAAACAGATGAAAGAACTGTAACTCATTGAGGGAAATTGTGTTAAAAAGACCACATTTGTGGCCATCGTATTAATATATCATTTTGAGCTGAAGCGAAATGCAATCACAGAGACCCAAATGTTCTTTGTTTCATGAGCACCCTATGAAAAAGATTACTTTAGTGCTTTATCTTAAGATCCCTGAGGGCCACAATAGATGCCAGGTCACTTTGAACCAATTTTATCTTTTTTAGTTTTTGCACACAGTGGAATAGATGATACTTATTCCACTTCACGTAAAATGAAGCATATACTGACCTTTTTGTTGATATCATAAAACACAGTATGGTCCATTACAGAGCCTAATACTCCATGGACTCTCCAGAAGGCAGGGATTTGTCTTAAGTCCTGCATAGAAGCTGGCTCTTTTTCTCTTGCTGATATTTCTTCATTGGCTTTGCTGACAGAAAAGAGGGATGGGAGGGAGCCCCAAAGATCTCATGTAAACTGATTTCTTGTCAACTTTATTTGTTTGATTGATTGATTATTTTTCTTTTTCTGCACTCACAATTTTGTGTCTTGACAGGCAATTTTGTTTTCTTACTTGATTGAATGTTTGATGTCATCAGCTTAACCACAAGATAGCTGTAAAACATTCACATTTCATTCCACAGTTGTCACAGACCTACAATAACATCGTGTTTTAGAGTACATAACAGCAATTTTTCACATATTTGTATTGTACTGTAATAAATTGCATATCCAAAGTAATGGGTGATGGATGATTCACTGCGTCTTGCTTTCCTCATTTTTGTTAGCATACAAACTGAGGTTGCAGGAAACTTCCAGAAGAGGTTTTTTCATACAGTATTTAACTGAAGTTTTATTGATTTTATTTCAAACTTACCATCTATTTGGTTTGCTTTTGTGGAGGGGGGAAGTTTTAAATATGTTGTCTTTGTTTCCATCAAATAATAAAAGAAGTAAATAACTTCTCCTGCTTTGTATCTTCTGAGCAATTAATTTTTGATGCATGTTTTAATATTGCATTCAACTAACAGAATTCAGGTACATCTAGTCCTGGAACACAGAACATGTCTCTGCCTTATATTCATTGTTTTCACTGAATATATAATAATAATGAGCTGTTATACAACTAATGAATATATTAACAGGATTATTATTATGAATCAGTAAAAATGCTGTCCTTTACACATAATGATTGTGAAAGCCGTTTTTGAGAAACAGCCTTATAGATATTTAGATTGTTCTTTCAGGTTGCATTTCATTATTTGATCTAATATTCAACTTAAAGAACATATTGCAGGTTCAGTTTTTTTGGAAATTAACACTGACAAAATATGTACATATTAGATGTCATTTGGTAATTCTTTACTTATCAAAACAATTTGGAAGAGGAAGACGTGTTAGGAAATACTAATTTAAGTCCTTCATTTCTTTTTGAAAATTGATGGAATAACTTTCCACAAATTGTTAGTTAAAAAAGAATTGCAAAATTGTCACAATTCTTCAGACAGGAGATATGTAATTTAAAAAGATTCATGTTTCATCAAGATATTTTGGTGAAATAAAGTGTGAATAGAAAAAAACAAGAAAAATATACTGATATGAGAAACAGAATTTGTTTATTTTATTCATTTAAATGAGCAACGATAGACATAAAACACAAGTCATTTTGTATTCAATTATCATCAGTATAACTCTAGTTTGTGTAAAAATTGCATTTTGCATTGGAAAAAGTGTAAAGAAGTAAATCCTTTAAAATTATATTAAATTCAAAATTACAGTTAATATTCAAACAGTCAATAAAAACAGCCATGTAAAAAGTTACATACTTTATTACATAATGTAAAAGTCTTATAAGACACTCAGCTGTCACTGATGATGAACATTTTTCAAACCAAGCAGAGATCAGGGCTGTTTCATTTATTGTCAATGATTGCTTCACTTTGAACACATCAGTGACACATCATACATTGTACATCATTTTTTAAACAGTGACCATCAGAAGAAATCATAATTAAAACAAGATTCAGTCAAAGAGCCGCCGGAAAAAGCTTTTCTTTGCAGGGGACATTTTGATTGTTGGGGGAGTCTTCCTGTCCTTAACCTTCAGGGGGGTCCGCTTCAGAGGCGTCACCTGTCGCGGCGGGGTCATTTCCTGGTAAGGCAGGCCTCCGTGGTCCAGACAGAAGTACCGCTTGTTGCCCTGTGAGAGCCTGAGCAGCAGTATCTCAGACAGCTCCATACATTGAGCGTGGACCCAGTGCCCCCCCTCCCCTCTGGAGCAGAAGATCATGGCCGGTCGGTGTAGCTCTGTGGAGTAGAACGGCTCCCACTTGTTGGGATCTACCTGACAGCCAAGACTGCATTTGATCCAGTAGCCTGTCTGTGATTCATCCTCCTCATCATCCTCTTTGTAGGCATCTTCTTCTCCATCGCTACTCTCCTCCAGCTCATGTGGCTCACGGCCAAAGTAGAGTTCCTCTGAGTCTTCAAGAGGAGTGGAGTTGTCGTAATCAGTTGACTCTTGGCTGCAGCCCTGCGTTCCTTCTTCCTCTTTGCCGTCTTCCTCTGTCTGAAAGCTCACATGATAGAAATAATGCATATCTGACTGAGATGGCCTTCCCTCTGTAGGTACAGCTAAAAGGAAGCTTCCCTCCCCCGCACTGCCTCCAAACCAAGTGCGACTATGGACGATATCTTGGGTCCACTGAGGTGGCTCAAATGGCTCTAATTGAATCCCCTTCTCATCCAGAATCACAGAACTGCACTCCATTCTTTTCTGAGAGTCTGACTTATACCCACCCAAGACAATATATCTGTGGGCTGGACCTGTGCGGGTGATTATGGCACTAGAGATGGATATACCAGTGTGTAGAATCTCACAGGAAAGCAAGGGACTTCCCTGCAGAAGCTCGACGCGCAGGCAGAAGAGTCGAGGGGGGCGGGAGTCAGACGTGATGGAGTGACCTCCCAGGAAGTACACGCAGTCTTCTCTTGAAAAGGCCAAATGGAAAGACTGTCCATCACTGAGCTCCGGTAGAGTGTGAGCTGAGGAGCAACCGAACTCTAAGTCGAATAGGAACACCTGAGGAGGACAGTCCACAACGCTGTTCCAGCTCTCGGTGGTCCGCTCTCCGGCTGGCATGTAGGATCGACCTCCAAATAGCACACATGCTGTTTTCCCGTGGCTCTGAACTATGCTAATCGTGTGGCCATATCTGGCGCCCGGCACTTCTCCCACTAGTTCCTTCTCTTTGCAGCGAAGGGTGAGCTTACGATTGCAACCTCTGCTATCCATGGTGAGCAGGTACAGGCTGGAGGAGATCTCGTTATTTGGTGTGCGGCCACCGTGGATGAGGTAACTCTCTGGAAGCCCATCATAGGGGTCAAGGCGGCACACTGCTGGACACCGCAATGGTGGAAGGTAGCATGAGTCGTTGGAGAAGGAGATGGCCCTCAACTTCAGCTCGCTGCTTTTAAGCCGAATCCCAAAGACACCTGTTGGACAGGAGCGCTTGGGCCAACCTTTCTGGCCAAACAGGAGAACTTCCCCGTCCAGCTGCAGCATAGAGCAGCCAGGCTGCAGGAGGCTGGCACAGTTCACTGGAGTTACTGGTTGCAGGGTCATTTTTCAGCAGGTGCCTGTATCCAAACACACAAAACACACAAAAACAATATGTCAGTCAGCTGTTAGTTGTTTTCTTTCAAGGGTTTTAAATTTTGACTTCCTGTTTTTTAAAGGGACATCTGGCGGACCATGATTCTCGTAATCATCGTGTTTACGAAGGTGTCTCCTGAGGTAGGATGTGACGTAAAGAAAAAAATCTATGCACCTTGCAGCAGTCACATAATATAAACGTCACAACCCCCCTCCAATTGGCTCGAGGTGAATTATATGGCTAATTTCCTGCGTCGTTCTCACACCAGCCCACTTGGACCTGCTGCGGAAAAAAATACTAAGGGTCTGGAGAGAAACTGCAGGTGGAGTCCTAATGAAAAATGTGGCTGTTTGTGTTCAAACATACAGTTCCTCAAGCAAATATCATGAGCTTTTCAAGAGTTTTCTGCAAGTGTGAAAGCCGTATATGTAAAATAAACTCGCCTTGTCTAAAATACGTTTATTAAAGCAACATCTTCATCACTTGTGTCATCATCACTATGGTATTTTTAAGTTGCCCTGAGTGTGGTCTGTAAAGTGAATAATAGTTAATAATCATTTATGTAACCTTACACCATTTATTGACCTGACACTGTTGATTCAGAACGATCTGAAATATGAAACCATGTGTGCTGACCAGTGTACACAAAATAATGTGAGAACTTGGTGAGAAGATGGATATAAGGCTGACACTGATCATTGTATTATTCGGCTTTGTTACTTGTAATAAAGTCTTGTGAGATCCACAAATTCTGCTATTTGTCTGTTTGCTTTTTAGATTCTATATGGGAACTTTTAAACCCGACATATCATTCTCAATTAAAAAAATTAAACAATAGCAGCTACTTATTATCATTATTAAATATAAAGGGAAAAAAAGAAGAATAATAACTAGACATTAACTTGTAATGTAAATACTAAAAACTCTACCTCACGTAAATTAACCAATCTTTCACATAACTGCATTTTTATAATCATTTTACGTCAGCATCTTTTGCACTACTCACCACTGCACTGTTCCTTATTTAGTCTTTTACATATTAGTCTTTGCTTATTAGTGTTTATTGTTGATATTTAATATTATACTTGTACATAAGAGAGCACAGTTCACCAAAGTTAAATTCCTTTTGTGTGTGTGTGTGTGTGTGTGTGTGTGTGTGTGTGTGTGTGTGTGTGTGTGTGTGTAAGCATACCTGGCCAATAAAGCTGATTCTGATTCTGATTAAAGGAATAGAGAACAAACAACATGCTACATAACCAACAACTCTGACAATTTCAAAGGTAAACTTACTAGTACAACTACAAGTTTCCTGCTTTACATATGCAGCTTCTTCTTACATTAGGCTACATATTGTATTCTTGCATTTTTTTGGTCAAACATAGGCAACAACAAGTAAACAAAATACAGCAAAATCTTGTCCTCTTCATAGGGCCACTCTTCTCTTTAAATCACAAACAGAACCTTGCAGTGAAACTTCATATTTGAATCAGAAGCGTGAGAGGTGCCCTCTTTGGAGACACAAACAAACACTGTGGCAGGAGCTGCTGTACTGACTCCGTTACTTTCTGGGAATGTTTTCAGAACTCAGCCTGACTTTCCTAGAAAATGGCTCACAATTGGTGCAGTGCATTATTGGACAATGGGCTGCACAGCGAGGATGTTGTACACAAGGTAATAGTACGGCTGGTTTTACCTGGAAAGTGGAATGAAATACAAACTACTTACTGAATGACATTTACAATTGAATGACTACTATCTCTTTTAGAGTTTCCTCTCAGTGTGAATGAATAGCATAACAATTTAATTTATATTATAACCAGCTTTATTAATTATCATTTCACCTCAATGAGATGAATGGAGTATACAAGTCTTCAAACAGTAACAGCAGCACAACATTAATTCAAATCACCCCAGAACTGTTCATTCTTCCCTCAAATGGTATCATAATTTTAGTATGCTTACCTTATGGGCAGGGATGAGATGCAGTGCTTTGAGCCAACCTTAGTGTGAGTCCTCACACTTCAACAATTGTTAACATGAACCTAAATCGCTCTTTATGTAACCAAACTTTGACAAAGGCAGACGCTGACAGAGTTTGTGAAGCTTCGTTGACTCACAAACACTTCCAGATCTTTGAGGTTAACAGTCTGTGACTGCTGCTCAGTGGCAGGTGTGCTGCCTGAATGCATTTAGTGATTCGCTTCATTGATATCTCAGAATATCAGATGTACCAAAGACAGGACAGGGAGCTATTGTGAGAGTTTTGCTGTCTGTGGAACAATCCTGACCTGTGTAATACCCTAAGAAATCAACCCTGTGGTGACTCCAGGAGAAGGTGTTGATCAAAGTGTCTTAGGAACTTGGGTAATTTCTGCTCTGCAGCCTAGATTCACATTTGTAGCTTTGCTTATAGCTTGAATAAAACAATTTGTTTCTGTAACTGACATGTCTTCACTCAGCTTTCTTATGATTTTCCTTCATATTTCACCTCATCATTTTTGTTGGCATAAAAAATGATCTGTTCCTTTAAACACACATTAATCTTTAAGCATACTGTAAGTTGCAATCTGCCTTATGCATAAAAAACAAACTCTCCTTCAGCTCTGAATGCCACACTGTGGCAGGAGAAAGGAGAATCTAAAAGTCATTCTTCTATAATGATGAAGACATTGTGACACACGTAAAGTCAGAAATTATTTATGCACGTCTTTGTTTTGAATATTTGACCTACTATAGGTGAAATCACTGCTTTATGAGCAACACACACATAGATGCCCAAACACCCAGAGATAACAGAACAGAACAGCAGATGTCTACAAACTCATTAGCATAATGTTTTTGTGCACTGAGCGGCAGAGAGAGATAGAAAAACTTGAGGAGTGTGCAAAACAAAGGCAGAAACCACAAGTGCCTGGAAGACCGTTACAGCTTGAATACACAAAACAGCCAAGCACCTGTGTGTCTAAACTGACGCTCACAGGGCTGAGTGGAAGAGAAAGAATTTACTCCTGTTATCGGAGAGGAGATAATGCATGAATTCAGATGTCAGCGGGATATGCAGAGTGTTTCTTCTTGTCTCTTTATTTTTCAAGAAGTTTTTCCATCCGTATGAATTCAGCCTTGGAAAAACAAACCTTTCTAGTCACCTCGAGGCATCCACACAAAGCACCGTTGAAAAGCACTGCCTGCTATGTAGCCGCAGCTGGGATGTGCAGTGAGTGAGTAGGAGGCACAGCAGCGGTGTGTGGCAGACCCCAGGCAATGCAAGGATTTGTACATAATTGATAGAACAAAGTAATTAGAATCTATGGTAGCACCTGTTTCTGTCCCATGTAATGTATCACTACCTGACTGTTGGTACCCTGCAGCATGGTTTTGAAGGATGACGCGGTGACAGCTCTGATGTTCTGACGATCACTGTGCAGTGGTGTTTATCACTATTTAATGCTACGGTAATTGCTCCCCTTGTGCTGATTGGTACTGAGTGCCAGTGGGACGCTTCCATCTCACTGGTTCATTTTGCTGTGGTACAGTGGTTATTATGTGATTATAGGTGACCTCACCTGTAATATCATAAATGTAAAATCACATTTAGAATCATTGTTTTCAACGCTACGACTTTCTATTGAATCACAAAAACATTCATTTAGGGGTTTTCTTTCCTCTCGAGATTTATTAACAATGAAAAGAATAGTGACATGTGATGTTTAAGGAAATCAATGTTGTAGAAAGCCACCGACTCTGCCTCAGCTTTTTTTTATTAGCATCTTTAAGCTTGTTGTTCAGACAGCAGTTTAAATGTTTTGATGCTTACTTATCACTTTGGTTGACCTTTTTAGAGGTTGAAAAAGACTCAAACAAAATGGTAACTAAAATGGCCAAGTTAAAAATGTATTAAAATATCATTGCATAATTTCACCACTTATGTGTGTGCAGTCACAGGAATCAATAGCATTTATTTCAACTTTCTAAATAAACTTATCATATATACTTATATATATATATATAATCCAAAAGGTTTTATATTTCCATGTATTTTTTTCAAAAACTTTATAAAGTAAAAATCTTCTTGGCTTATTTCTTTGAGGATTCAAAGACAAGATATGTGTCCGAAATCATAATTTAGTGACATTAATTTATAACTAGCAGGAAGTACCCAAGCATCGTTTAGGATTTTGGCTTGGGACCTGGGGTGGCCAAACATGTTTCACAGGGGGCCCAGCCCACCCATTTTTCCACGCCACCCCCTTTTATTTCAGTCGAGGCCCACCACAGTTTGAGAAGCCCTGTTTTAGTCTCTGTGTGTTTGTTCTCTGCTCATAACCTAACAGCCTGTTTTAAGGGAACATACAGAATTTTGACTGTAGGTATTATAAGTTGTGCTATTACAAATATAATACAGTTGCACTGTAAAAACTAAGACTGTGAACTTTGGGCTGTAATGTAAAGCGTAACCTTTGATTCCCTATTTATGTTGTTTTGCAAAGTCCTCTGGAATGAGTTACAACTTTTCATCATCAGAAATTTGATTCAAATTCAATGATAAAGGTTCTCTATTAGTTAGTTAGTTGGATATTCTAACAGCCAGCATCTTGTTAACATGTTAGTTATTTATCGTCATAACTTTCTGAGCTGCCACAAAATCTAATAGGCATGTTTTTTTCAAGCAGGTTTGATATATAAAATCGTTCAAGCTAACTTGTAGCACACCACAGGACTTTTTCAATATACGGATGCCTACTCTGAGGTGTCTCTGTAGCCTAAAGCTAATGTGTGGGACACGGTAAACAAATCCTGATCTCTTTCATAACAGTCACTTTATATGTGCTTTATAAAATGACACTCCTATTATTACTTTAGTCTGGCTCTTTGTATTGGAAAGGGACTGCCAATAATCAAGATCCAGGTAGAATTTGTTTCCCTGAGTTCATATTCAGCAAAGTACCCTATGTACCCTTACAAAAGTAGTTTTGTAAGACATAGGGTTGTTGAATCCACAGTGCCTCTTCCATGCTCTGTGTTTCTTTGCTCCAAATCCCTCGTCTCCTTTCATCCTTTCCTATTGTACTTGGATTCCTTGCTTCTCTTAACATGTTTCTCCTCAGTTGTCCTCTCTCTGTGTAGGTGAACAGAAAGGTTTGGTTCCCTCGCTGTGTGGCAGGATGCCAGGAGTGCAGTCTGCCTCAGATACATTGGCACCAGACCAGACACTGCTGGAAACCCTGAGGTGTTTTATTTAGGCTTCCCATAAGCCCTTCTAAGTCTTCTTCATTCAGCTGTCTTCATGGCAGTGTCACAGTTCATGGGTTGTGACGGTTACATGATGAGGAGGTAACCTAAAAGCATGTTTTAAGCTGATAAGCTTGGATCTGCACTTACCCAGCCGATCTCTTCTCCCTACAGAGGAGACTCTGAGAAGACAACATCACTGTGACCCTACAATTTACCTCGCTCCTGTGGGAGATGGAGAGATCAAGAAACAGAGGAAGATCAGGGCAGGATGTGACAACAGATAGACAGCTCTGTGGCTGGATCTTGTCCATGTATCAGGTTTTGATCAGTGACATGTTGACCCTTAACTGTGGTAGCTGATGAAGAATTGAGAAAGAAAACCTGCTTTAAAACTCTTCTATTATTCACACTGACAACCGTAAACTCCTTGAGTATTCATTATTTAATGAAGTGTGCAATCTGAATCTGTCCCATAACACAGTGTGCAATCCTGAAACATACTGTGCAATACGTGTGACATCTTACTGTTAATACTGCTCTTTGTACAGGCTAATTTCTTTCTTTAATTTCTGTGATAATCTACATTTTATACATACCTTATTCTTCAATAAGATGCATTTGGTGCATAGCTTTATTTCTTCAACACTCTTGTACTTATTGCTTTACACTTCTTATTTGATGCATATTTATATTACTGCTATATTTTGTTTAGCTAACAACCATTGATAAAGTATTTCTTGTCTCGGTGTCGGACTGAGTGGACTCCGGATTTTAAATCAAGACCAGTGAAGACCTTCACTGATAGGCTATTTTTCCAAGTCATTAGAAGGAAAAATGCCCCTTTCTAAAATAGCAAATAGTCAATCAATCAATCAATAATTATTTGCCTAGCGCCAATTCATAACAAGTGTTATCTCGAGACGCTTTACAAAAGAGCAGGTTTTTATGACCATACTCATAACTTCAGTTCATTAATAATTTCATTGTTATCCCCAGGTTACGGCTGCAACTCCCGGTGTTACTGTCTAAGTGAGTGACACGCCTCCTGCACACAAGTTGAGGATTTTTCTGACATTTTCTCATTTCCCACACAGTTGTGGTAGAGATTTCTTCCAGAAGGAATTGGCATCTTGGAAATTCCTGGCAGAAAACGAATGTCTGTGTCCATAGGCAAACAGTGAGAGCACCGACACGAGCAGTCCGCCCCAGCTCGAGCCGGCCCCGGCTCCTCACCACCGCCGACAGGCAGGCAACCCAGGCTATGTCTTGGCTGGTGAGCTGGCAGCGGCCGGCGGCGGCCAGCAATATAGCGGCGAGACGGTTGCTGCCGACAGACCGGCCTTGTGTCTTGGCCAGCGGCAGCCAGCTCACCCACTTTGTCGCAATGTTATGTTTTTCTATGCGCTGACTGTAAACTCCCCTAACACGATTAGCTTCTTATGTCTATGGAAACATTTGTAAATTTGAAGAATACAATGTAGATAACAGAGTAATAGAGTAGATAGTAACTCACCTCTTATATAATTATAATATTCAGCTTACATTACAACCCGGAGAACAGTGTAACCCATGTAGGAAAATAGACTTCATGTGAAATAAAGAGAGAGAAACATTACATTTTGAATTACAAAATAACTACTAATAATTCTACTTCGCAAATAGTGTGAAATATAATATTTCTATTGTCTATTTTATACTGTATTCGTTGTTATCAGATATTCGTTGTTTTAATATCACACAATAGAAACGTTTGAGAACAGGGTGACAATGTTATTTCAGCCAATCAGAAGCCACCAACGGCAATTAGTCCTGCGCACCTGTTCAGGTTTGTGGGTAGCAGGGGCGCGTGCCCTTTATGTGTGTGCAGTGC